GTGCATTTTTACCTCAGTGACAAGAATGTTTCTCTGTCCATAAATGGGAAAAACCAAGAATATAGTTATGAGAGTGACCCCAGTCAGGTTGGAATCTTATGTCTAAAGTCAGTAAGCAAAATACTATCACAAAGCATCAAAACGGGATGAGACCATTTTACTCATATTGTAAATGTTTCGTAATCTGACATGTTAGGAAACTAGAAGAATCAGTCCTTCTAGAACTCTTGCTAACCTCAAAGGTAAATTGCTTCCTTTGCTATTTGCCTCCAAGAATGTTTGAGCTGAAGACATTTTCAAGCTTAACAGATTCAACACATTGATTTTTATAGATAAAATCAAGACATTGAAATGTTAGATGACTTGAGTTGAATTAGGCTCCCTCTTTAAAACAGTATTACCGCCTTTTTCCGCTATAACGCACATGAGCAGGGACCAGTTTCCATATACTCAGGAAAGTTCTATGGAGAATCTGGGGTGATGTTGAAGCCCAGGCTCCTTGTCCAACTCCAGTACTTTCTTCCTACTTAACATTTGAAGACTAATTAGGCATTAGCTGTCTTTCTCTTTTTACTTACCAGAAGCACTTGGCTCACAGTGTTTTATAATAATGAATTGTAAGATCAGGAGAGTTTTTGCAGTGATCTGGATTTGCTACGTCAATAGTGAACCACATCCCCCACGGAGGTCCCCAGCTGGAGGCCCCTTCACACAAGCCACAGTCGTCCATGATCTGCCTGACCTCAGAGGCACCGAGACACAGATTGCCTGGATTACAGGAACTTTGGCTTTAAGCATTTTTCATATGAACTGTATGTATTGAGGCTCATTTTCTATCCGTAACTGCCTCCAAGGGTGCAAATGTTCTTAGACCCAGTGTGCTGGGTCTCCCCAAGCGTTACAGGTCACCTGAGGGTCCTGGTCTTCACATAACTGCCCCTGTGAGCAGCGGGCAGATTTGAAGTTAGAAGGATTGAGGCCACTTTGGTTTTAAAAGCTTTGAATTCTCTGGGATTGCTATTTCCCTGCCTAAAAAGCCCCAGACTTTTACTCATTTAAGAGACAAGAAAGCTCGGGTGTTTGCCCTGTGCCAGAGCCGTCTAGGTTCTAATCTGATGCTCAGTGGCAGAGGAGAAGGCTCCATTCCCTTTCCGGTTGCCACTCCGTCCTGGACCAGCTTCCTAAGCATCACCGGGGATCTGTGAGAAATGCACAATCTGGGGCCCACCCCAAATCTACTGGAATCAAACTGCATTTCAGAGACTTCCCCAGGGATGTGCAGGCACATTAAACGGCTAGAGTGAGTGGGAGTCACCATTTCTTCATCCTTTGCCCTCTGTCCCTCGGCTGCCTCTGTGCCACATCAGCCCTGCCCACAGACCAGGACGCCCACACGGATGATGTGATCCCGCCAGCCCCGGTTCTCATGGGGAAGGAGCTGGCGGGGCTCTGCCCCACTATCACCCCCAGGCTGGGTTGCTGTTGAGTTCACATCTGCCCTGATTCAGGGGCCATGTTGTAACTTGGCTCTGCCAAGTTTTTTCCTCTAGTCCTGTTTATCTTTTCATGAAATCTTCAAATGGATATTAAAAGGGTAGAATGTAGCCAAAATGGTTTATGAATGGAAGTTTCTCTGTCCCTCAGGCTTGTGTTCTCTCTCCTTAGCCATAAGTTAAGGATCAAGCAGGGCTGTATAATTACTTTTGTTTATGAAACCCTACATGGCTGAGATCTAATTTTCCTTCCCCGAAACAAGATGAAGAAGAAATAGAAGCCCCTCCTGGCCTGCTCTAGTCACGGCCGCACCTGAGGGCCTGTCAGGGTGTCGGGGGCCTGCAGCAGGGCTGCCATCAGCAGAGGGTCACGTGCCACCACGCTCCCTGAACACAGTTCATGGTTATCACATTTATGACATCAAGATGTCGCTCCAGGTTTCCGGGTGTGTCGTTTACCCTTGGACTGGTCTTCTGGAATGTGCCTGGTCGACATCCTGACGAAGTCTGCACTACACAACTCTGGGCCTCTGTAGCTCTGTCCCAGTACAACGCTGTGTACATATCAAAAAGTAAAAGAACAGAAGCTAAGGATCACATGAGTATTAGGAGAAGGAGCAGCCTAAGCCACCTTTGTTATTTTTGAAGTGGCTTCAGTTTGTTGGCTGAAACAGACAGAAAACTTAGACTATGCCTTATCCTGTAGCACCCAAACCGGTTTCTATGCCTTTTTCTGTTGCTTTCGATTCTTCCAATAAGATGCTTTTTTTTTCCTTCTCAAAGAATTCAAATTAAAACTTGTGAACTCTGACCATGGTCATTTCTAAACATCATCAGTGCGTTGGAAACTATTGGGGAAATTGGGAATGACAAAAAAGCGGGGAAGGGGTAGAACAAAGGGAAATGAAGTGTAAAATAGTTACCGATCATTACTATTTTTCTAACAGAATCTTTTCACACTGGTTTTATGTCTAGTCGTTGCTTACTAGGGTTGGGTGGTGTGGAGTGCCTGGAGGAGCCATCTGGAGGGTGTCTGCCTCTATGTACCCATTTTCACGCTGTCTTTTCGATGAAGAAAGAAAGTGTGAAAGGAAGACAATGAGCTTTCAGAGGAATGCTTCCTAGAAAATAGACTGGTATTCCTCAGGCTTGTGAGTTGACAGTAATGATTTTTATTTAGTGTTCCAAACAGTACCAGAGCCCGCCCTAACAGACAGGTGGGCCTGCTGGAAAGTCAGGGCAGTAGCAGGGATGTTTTGGGCTTCTGGTCTTGATATGATGGAATTAGAAGACAGTTGTGCAAGCCGGCATGAGCTTTAATGCCAGTGGACATTATATGATAACTACAACTCATCACTCAAAGAGTATTTTCCTAAGAACAGTAAATGCAGGAACCATAGAAAAGTTCGATCACAGGCCAATATTCCCAGGTGCCATTTTGAAATTGGAAATAATGCACTCATTCTTAGCTCCTCAGAACCACATGATTTTTGAGGGAGAAGGGATAGTGGGAATCTCATCAAAGTACCTCATGTCATAGATGACAAGACAAGGCCCCAGGAGAAGGGGTGGTACAAGCCCTGTCTCCTGTCACCCCCTGGGCCATCTTCCTGCTTGCTGGAGGTTTGCTTTGGTCCTTATGCACAAAGCTGTGAGTGCAGATCTCAGTCCTGTCCTTCACTCTGTCCCCTCCGTGGATGCATTTGGAAGCTGCGGAGGTAGTCAATGGAGACTTGACCCACACTTGGGAGAAACATGGCCTGTCCTGGAGGCAGCCCTCTCTCACCCACTAGGTGTGATCCGGCGAGGTTGCCTGCCAGCCCAAGGTCTGCAGCCTGCTCTGGCTCTGAGCCCCCTAGATGGAGGGGATGAGATTGTGTGTTGACCCCAGGAGGGTCCATTCGTCTTCCCGTGAAGTGGACCCAGGATGGATGAGCAGATGCAAAAGCTCCGTAGAGGAATCCTCATCCCCCTTCTCTCAGTTCGTTCCAAATATGTTCAAAGAAACAATCTCACTTAATCTTCAGGAGAAGAGGTGGTTTATTAAACTAAATTAAAATATCATAATAAATTGAAATATCATAATAAAACCACACAATTAAAGGAAATCATATGTAGGAATTGCCTTGGGGCTTCTTAAATATTGCATACGAAAATATTTTTATTAGAACAAATCCTTTTGCAGATTACCAAAATTATCTCTAACAAAACATGGAATGAGTTGTATTTAGAGATCAAGAGTTTGAGAGATGATGAGAAAAATCAGTCCCCCCACCAAGCTTGTTATTAATAGATACTTCATTTTCTTACCGTGAGAGCACATGATTTTATGGTAATACCGCTTTCTTTATTTTGTAAATTAGTTATTTGACATGTTAGTTGACTACATTACTCTTAATATTCCTAATTATAACCACAGATGCTGAAAAGGTCTTTAACCAGTTACTTTGCAATGCTGATGTGTTAATAAATGTTCTCTGCCAGCAATAACAGGCAAAGAGAGGAGTTGTTCCCAGGGCTGCAGAGATAAATGCTACATTATGCTGTGTATTAAGTAGACAGACTCCTTATAGGTTTATATTAGGAGTATTGATAAGTGTTTCATTATAGTGGTTTTGGTTGGGGGGTGCTAGTTGAGTTATTCAGAAAGCCATGTATAAGTCCCATGAATGCTTAACTATTACACAAGTTTTCTACAAAGTATCGTATTTAGGTATGATTAATATTTTAAGATTTTGTTCTCAGTAGGCTAGGGGAGTTGGGCAAATACAGACTACACACAAATTTTTAATTTCTTCTCAAGTGTAAAAAATTATGGAGCATTTATAATCAAATTATCTACTCATATGGTTAATATAAAAGTATTTGTAGTGTTTTTTTAATTAAAAAATAAGCTTGAATTTAATGGCATGAACTTCAGACACAGTCTGGGTTTTCAGGAGAAAGTGTTTTCAGATATCTTGGTTGGCAAAAATAAGATAACTGAAACGTTGACTTTTGAAAAATTTTTTCATCTTTACTACCAGTCCCATTTCTTGCTCATCTTTTCCGTTTTCGAAGAGTTTAAAAAGTGCTTGTTTCAAGTGTTATTGAGAGATTGGTAGTAATAAGTCAGAAGTTTTGCTTCATTGCAAAAAGAGACGAATTATAATTCACCGCTGTTATAGCCTAGGGCGGATAAGGGATCCTTAGGAACCCAGCCGCGCTTAATGAACTGGGAACCCGGCTGTGCGAAACCCGCATTTCCACCTTCATCTAGTAGTTCTCGGGTTTTGATGTAAGTAATGCCAGCCGGGCGTGATCAGAGGCGGGTCTCACCAGTGGGGAGGCAGCTGGAAGAGCTCACGCGTGGGAAACCTCGGCCCCTCGCCCTCTCCCGAACGCCGGCCTCTGCCAGCGCGCGCTGGGGCGCGGGCCGGGCGGTCCTTGTCCTGGGAGCCGGGAGCGCCTCCCGGAACGGCCGGGCGGCCTCGCGCCGCGCTCGGCAGGCGGAGGCGGGGGCCCGCGGGCTTTCTCTGTTGCTACAGCCGTGATGTCACTCGCCCATCCTAACCCGCGGTTGGTTGTTTTGTGTTTCAGCTCTGCCTGCAGTTGAGCACAAAGAGCTGGAGGAGACTCCCACATCCTTCGGGGAGAAGAAAGGAGGCAGCGAAGCGGATTAAAGGAACTTGTGGCTTGTGGCCTTTTTGCACCGGGGCTGCCTGGAAGGGGGAAAGTGAATTAAAGCCACAGTGGCGGTTAATGAGCTGTGAGATGAGGCGCTGCCGCTGCTGACGCTCAGATTCCAGGATCCGTCTGCCGCCCTTTGTGCTTCATGTACATGTGTCTATTCAGCGCATCCGGAGGCGCCCAGAAGAGAATCCAACACGGCTGCCGGGGAGAGACCACCCACCATGCCCACGGAGACCCTACAGACAGGTAGCATGGTGAAACCGGTCAGCCCCGCCGGCACCTTCACCTCGGCGGTCCCCCTGCGCATCCTCAACAAAGGGCCCGACTACTTTCGCAGGCAGGCCGAGCCCAACCCCAAAAGACTCAGCGCCGTGGAGAGGCTGGAAGCGGATAAGGCCAAGTATGTCAAGAGTCAGGAGGTCATCAACGCCAAGCAGGAGCCCGTGAAGCCGGCCGTGCTGGCCAAGCCCCCGGTGTGCCCCGCCGCCAAGCGCGCCCTGGGCAGCCCCACGCTCAAAGTGTTCGGCAACAGCGCCAGGACCGAGAGCGGCGTGCAGAGGGAGAACCTGAAGCTCGAGATCCTGAAGAACATCATCAACAGCTCGGAAGGCTCTAGCTCCGGCTCGGGTCACAAGCACAGCTCCCGAAACTGGCCGCCCCACAGGCCCGACGCCACCGACCTGCACCGGCACTCCTTCGCCGAGTCCCTGAAGGTCTACCCCACGCAGGGCCGCGGCAGCCCGCAGGAGAGCGGCTCCCACGTGGGCAGGAGGCTGCTGGAGCAGTCGGCCGAGTCCTTCCTCCACGTCTCCCACAGCTCCTCGGACATCCGCAAAGTGACCAGTGTTAAGCCCTTGAAAGCGATCCCCTGCAGTAGCTCCGCCCCTCCCCTGCCTCCCAAACCCAAGGTCGCCGCCATCGCCACCATGAAGTCTCCCGAAGCCGACCCTGTGGAACCAGCTTGTGGAGTCAGCCGCAGACCCTCCCTCCAGCGGTCTAAGTCAGACTTGAGTGACAGATATTTCCGGGTGGACGCAGACGTGGAGAGGTTCTTCAACTACTGCGGACTGGACCCCGAAGAGCTGGAAAACCTCGGAATGGAAAACTTTGCAAGGGCTAATTCTGACATCATATCCCTCAACTTCCGCAGCGCAAGCATGATCAGCTCAGACTGTGAACAGTCTCAGGACAGTAACAGTGACCTTAGAAATGATGACAGTGCCAATGACCGGGTGCCATATGGCATTTCTGCCATCGAAAGAAATGCTAGGATCATCAAGTGGTTATATAGCATCAAACAAGCTAGAGAGTCACAGAAGGTCTCCCACGTGTAAGAGAAAGTGCGTGTGGAGGAGGGAGGGGTGGGTCTCTGTCTGTGCATCCGCAGTTGTGAAGGTTGTGAGGTCTCCTTGAAGTGTTGTGAGCTTCTCCACTCTCTTTGTGTTGCTTGTTGTGCAATGTTTTCAAGTTGCATGCCTGTCAACATGGGGACTGACCTGGCTTCCGCGTCAACCATCGCTGCCGAGCCTGGCTGAACACAGTCATCTGCCAAAAGTTTCAGGCGAGAATCTAATTAGGGCTTCAATCTTAAGCAAAACTGTTTACACGAAAACAGTATACAACTTCTTCAATATTTATGTGGTTCTTGTGTTTTTATATCCTGCGCTATTGTGTCTTAATTAAAAGTTTTATCAACTGGCTTTTAAGTTGAGAGTAGAATCTTTTTGAAATAAAAAGCCAATTTGCCTACATGTGAGACTGAAACAATGGGAAAATAAATGGGATCTGCTACCAAACAGATGTAGTGACTGACCTAGGATAGAAGAACCAGGCTGGGTTTTTGAGGAAGAAAGTGGTGAGCCTGATGTTAATCAGTGACATATTGAAATTCTCTTGCCGCTTACTAAAGTCATGGTTGGGGCAACAGTGCTCCGTGTTGTGTCCTACTTGGTGTGTAAATGTTGGTGGTTCTGTGTAATACCGACCCTAAGGAAAGACAATCAGATACAATGAAGGTGATTACATCTAGGAGGTTGGGTGTTTGGGGGTTTTATTGATGATGTTCTGATTTGAGTTGATTCATAAATTTCTACTATTAATCTTTTAACAGGAATGGCCACCCTAAAGTTCGAATGTCTTAAAAAAAAAGTTTTTTTGATGAAAAACTAATTCACTGCTGATTCTCTTCCCTCCCTTTGTTGTTGTTGTTTTATTTTGGAGAGGGGAGTGGGGTTTGGGAAGGTTTGAGCTATCCGAAGACGTGAACACAAACAGAAATACCAGCCATATCCGGAGAGAGCCTCCTATTCAAAAGTGAATGCCTTTGGTAACTGAACCCTATCTGAGCAGCCTGATTGTGTTGTGTTGCATATATTATTCTCTCAGGCTGTGGACCTTTGTTACAGCTCTAGGAAACTGTAGAAACCCCAACACTATGTAGCTTGTCCACCCTGTGGTCTCTAGTGCTGCACATCAGCTTGTTCCCCTTTTCCCCAGTAGCCTGTCTCCCAGGTAGTTCAGTTAGCTGTCAACCCGCTGGCGGTTGTGGTGTGGTAGCAGAGAGGTGACCTGTGGTGGTCTGCTTCATTGCTCTTGTAGCCGTGCTCTGGAGTTCTCAGGAGCACTACCTTAGACTTCGTCAGCTGATAGGGAACTTTTTATGGTGTAAATGCTGTAAGACTTTGTACATACTTCAGTTGTCATGAAATCTTTAAGAAAAAAAGAAAAAGTTACACTAATAAATAGCTCTGGTGCAGGCACTCATGGTGGTGGTTTCTCTTTGTTCTTTCCTTTGTTCCCTCCACAGAAGTTAAACTTTGGACTGTGAGCCAGAAGCAGATTTTTGATAGTCTTGAAGAAACATGATTTTGTTAAGTTATTTTCACCATATCCCAATTATTCTGAACAGCAGTGTTCTTAATCGTAGCTCTAGCAATGTGCTTTTGCTAAAATAGTTTCGTCAAGGTTCCTAAAATATGTTGCTGCTTCTTTACTTAGTTCACACTTCTGTTATTTTTATCCTTTCTTAAGCATCAGAATTTTTCACATCTTCCACAAGACTCTTCAGTCGTAAATATTTATGAGTTCTTTCAGTGGAGACACACCTTTGAGATTTATAGCCTTGTTCTTAGTTGTACAGGCTCAGTGTCGTTAACGTAACATGTTCGTACATTTGTCCACTCATTCATTCATTCCTCTTTCAATCGGTCGTTTGTTGAGAGACTGCCTTTTTCAGGCCTCACATAGGCATGGGACTGCTGTGGTCAACAGCAGTCTCTACCTCAAGGAGTTTAGCTTTTCACATTGATTTTAAGAGAACTATCATTCCTCTTAGTGGACATGTCTTATCTCCTATTATTAGGACATTGAGTATTCAGTGAGTATTCATTGAATCAAGTTATGTGAAGATTAACATGTCCTCAAAAGTTCCAAATAATATGTAAATGTAAAAGAAAGCATTATTTGAAAAGTCGTTTTCAGAAACAGAAATGATATGATTCCCAACTATTCCTTTTCATAAACATTTTTCTTCTGAAAAGCAAATTCGGTTTCTTGACTCTCTCTACTGGTTTTGAATTCTTTCTGGTTCTCTGATTAATTCTCAGTTCAACTAAAACTCTACTTGCCAGAAGAAACATTTTGAAATGCAGCTATGAGTGGTGATGATACAAGGCATTCAAAATAATAGAATGAAAATAAGTTAAGAAGTATATGTATATGTATATAAACACACACACGTTTTCTTCCCTCACCATTGGGGAAGAAATGTGTCCATTTAAAATATTCACAGCTTGGCATTTATCCATCTCTTTTTTGGGCTATTGAAAATCCAAAAATAGATGTCATTTTCCTAAGGAAACCAGTTTTTTGGGGAGATGAGCACTTCTTAGCTAATTTAATATCACTGTTTATGCTTTTTTAGTCATAGATTCTGTTTGAATCTTCCAGCGTTTCAAAACCACATTTAATCTGTATTCCAACAGGGCTATAAATAACCCACTATAATTCAGTCTAATCTGTGGCCTTAAATATTTGTACAATGGACAAATGTGAGGTTGTTGGTTCCTATGGAAGATGGGAGCTCATTATTTTCTTTTTGTTCTTGAAATTAGTATTTCTAAAAAGAACTAATTCAGATGCTTAATATTAAATCCAAAGAGTGAGACATTTTTGTTCTTTTTGCAAAATACTCATTCTGTTACCTCATGGAAGTAAGTATCGTGTGTGTGTGTGCGTGCATGTGTGTGATGATAATGTTGTATAAATTTAGGGTTGTCATATAGTTCAGCACACTTTTTTTTACCCACACAATGCAGAATAAGGCAAGATTACACTAGATGGCTCTGGAAACTGGTTGTTTCTTTCTGAAAACCACCAAATTTTAAGAAATGTCTCTCATATTCACCCCCTCTGCCATTGCCTTAGTTCGGCTCTCATCTTGTCTTCCCTGGACTGTTGTTCCTAGAGCTTCCTAACTGAAAGTCCTGCTCTCCCCGCCTGTCTTTTCCCACCCTGTTGTCAAAGAAATCATAATAAAATCTGATCATGTCACTCTTCTGTGTAAAAACATCCTTCAGCTTGAATATGCTGCTGATAGGACAAATCCTAACTTCTTAACAGAGAATGTTGGGCATTTACCTCTCAGACCTCGTCTTCTGTGTCCTCTTCAGCCACCCAGACTAGGCCCCCAGGCTCCAACCAAAGGGATATTTCCATTGGGAACTTTTTACCACTCTGTTAGTGATCTGTTGCTGCATAACAAATTTCCCCAATACTCAGCAACTTAAAACGATAAATATTTATTATCTTAGTTTCTGTGGATCAGGAATCCTGATGTGTCAGGATGTCTCATTAGGCTGCAGACAAGATGTCAGTCAAGGCTGCAGCACTGAAGGCTCAGCTACTTCTAAGACAGCTCACATGGTATTGGCAAGAGTCCTTGCAACATGGCATCTGGCTTCCCACAGAGGGAGTGACCCGAGGGAGAGAGCAAGATGGAAGCCACAGTGCCTTTTGTGATCCAATATCCTATGTCACACACGTCCACCACATTCGATTCATCAGAAGCGTGTCGCTAAATACAGCTTACACTCATCGAGAGGAGAGTTAGGCCCCACCTTTTAAAGGAAGGAATATCAAAGATTATATGGATGTACAGTCATCCCTCAGTATCCACAGGGGATTGGTTCTAGGACCCCCCGTGGATACCAAAATCCGTGGATGCTATATAAAATGGCGTAGTATTTGCATATGACCTACTGCACATCCTCCAGTATACTTCAAATCATCTCTAGATTACTGATAATACCTAATACAATGCAAATACTATGTCAATAGTTGTTATACAGTATTGCTTAGGGAATAATGACAAGAAAAAAAAGTCTGCACATTCAGTACAAACGCGACTATCCTAGACCTTTCAATCTGCGGTTGGTTGACTCTGCGGATGCGGAACCTGCTGGTGTGGAGGGCCAGCTGTGTTTTAGTGTCACCACTCCTGCTGAGGTTCAGTAGCTCTTCATTCTGTGAAGAATGCCTTCTCTTCCCTCCTTGACTTCACAGACTCTCTCTCTATCAAGACTCAACAGTGAGATTTTTTTTTTGAGTTTCTGTGTTTCCTTTTCCCGTTAGATGATAATTTTTGTCGTGACCATGGTATACCTTCCTCAAAACATTTAATTTTCTGCCAGAAAAAAAATTTATCCTAATAAATTCACAGATCTCCAGTGATTATGATGTGAACTGTGGCCCCAGAGTTGGGCAGCGCACAACACAGCAGCCCAGAGTGTATAGTAGATGCTTCATAAGTGTTGACTGGATTTTTTTAACCCATCAGTTTGAGTCCTGTGTTAGTTACAGTATAAATGTTATCACAGTTAACCAAGGGTGGTAGTTATTGCCCCATTTTAGAGGTTAAGAACCTGAGTTCCGTGGAGATTAAGCCCCTTAACCAAGATCCCAGGGGAAGTAAGTGGTGGAATAGAACCTGAACTCAACCCTTCCGTTCCAGCTTTGCTCTCCCTGCAACCCAGCTCAAGACAAGGAGAGGCAGACAGAGCAGGTTGTACTTAAAAACCAGAGTGCCCTTAAATTCATCTTGATAATTTTAACTGCCACCTGTGTATATAAACATGTCACAAAAAGTCAGAATTTCAACAATTTCACTCTTAACGTAAATGGTAACCAATAAAATTTAGAAAAAGACCTCAGCTGTTCCATCATGAGTAGCATACAGCCCACTGAGTTCAAAGAGACAAGGCTGTTAGAATCGCATTTTTTCAGTTTTGAGTGTGCTATGTTTGGAAGCCACGTCCTGTCTTTTTTGATCAATGACTTATAGAAGGGCAAACAGTAGAGAAAAATGTCTGCCCACAATTCAGCCATCAGGAAACACATTTTGATGATCTGGTGAATCAGTGTCACTCGTTCTCCCAAACTTGAGGATGGACATGGCATGTTCTGACCAGAAGATGCACCGGGGAAGGAATGGAAGGTTAAGGGTGCTCCGGAGGAACTGAATAAATTCTTAGAAAAGACGACTCATCTCACCACCATTTTGAAAATGTCATCCCTGCCTTGTCCAATTAGCCCTGTAGGATGACGGAGAGTTCTGTTGGCTTCCACAGTGCCGTCTAAGAGCTGGACTATGAAGGACCAGGGGCTTGGTGGCTGCATATTCTGCTCTGAACAAGTCACCTTCACGGAGAGTTTCTCTTGTGTGTTCAGTTCCTACCCTCATGCTTTGGCAAAAACCTAGCAAAAGGAAAAGCCAGAGGGAGATGGGCCTCAGCAGGCTATTGGAACCCCTTCCTCCAATAACTGAGACCCATCTAACTAAGAGTTTGCCTCCATTCCCCCATCTGTAAAATGAGAGAAAAGCCATCTGATGTGTGTTCCCTTGGCCTCAGGGCTTTGTGACAGCACCGAGCGCTGTTTTCAGAGCATTAGGATGAGGTATGAGGATATGAAAATTCAGAGAAGACAGGGTTCATATTGTTGTGGCAAGTGGGATGGCAGGCGAGGCCTGATGGGGGCCAAATACTTCACTGAGTGGCATTTTATGCACCAGCTTCCCAAGAGTTTAGTTGGGGAAAGAAATGAAATCTCTAAAAGGATTCCGCTCTGAATGGAAGGAATCTCCAGAAACCTTTCAGGTTGTCAGAAGCTGACAGAATTGCATGTTTCCAGGTACATACAGATGTACAAAGCTATGAGGATAATAGTAACAATGATACAGTCTTTCATTAGTTGGGCATTTCGTTCATTCCATATTCGTGCAACAACCATCAGTATATCTTAGATGCAATGCTAAGCTCTTTGTCACATTATCTCATTTTATTCTCACGAGAACCTTAGAAGTAAATTAGAATCCATTTTGCTGATGAGGGATCTGAGGATTAAGCAACTTCTCAAAGGCACACATCCAATAAGTGGAAAAAGTGAAATGCAAACCCAGGTTAATAAAGCAAATCTTAAGACTCCTTCCATAATGAATTTTTAGCATCTAGAAGGGTGGGAGCCATTTTTGCTCCTTTGCAGTAAGTTGTGCTGCAGAACACTTCTCAGAAGCTTAAAACACTATTGCACGTACTGGTTCGCACTTCTTCCATACAGTGAATGACTCAAAACTATTCGTCGTATGTGACACATCAGGACTGAAGCTCTGGGTTCCTCTGAGAAGGACAATAGTGATCAACTGTCCCTCTCCATCCTATCTTACAGAGGAGAAAACAAATGCAGAGAAATGAGGCGGTGGGAC